AAAAAACAGCCAAGAAAACAAAACTGAAAATGATCCACCAGCAATCTGTGCTACATGTGGCCGTAATAAACACACACACACACAGACACACACAGATGATTCTTTTCAATGTCTCTTGAATCTGCTACTGCTCTTTGCTTCCCTGGTGTTTTTCTTCTTCAAAACCAGAGGAAAAATGCACCATGGAAAGTTTTAGACAAAGCTTTATAAACAGCAATTTTAAAACCTGAGAAAGAAACTCATCTAATTCTGTCTTTTTAAATAGAATTATCAGAAGTATTACTATCAACCTGTGTGACTAGTATACACAGCGTATGAAATTCAACCCAACTGCTGCCAGGAAGTCACTGAAACCTGGTAATTTTGAAATTCTAAAGCAAAACACACCAGAAAAAAACACTCACCTTTACCCCTTTTTTCCAAGGTCTGTGCTGCACATTTCACATTCAATATTGAGTCCCCAATCCCTGAGGTTTCTACCTCTGCCTTCTGGTTCGATTTTGTGGGAAGCCGCTTAGTCAGGTGCCGTGTGACGCCTGGCACAGTAGTGAGCACTGGGTTCTCTGCTAACTGGGTATTGCAAGAGTGTAAATTTCCCCAAAAGGGCTTGAAAATTGATTTCTCCTTCTGTGAGGGTCCCCTCTCTGGCAATTTTTGCACATGCTTTTCTTTCATTGTCTCACATCTCTTGACTTGAATTTTAGTGATGTCAACTGCTGTGGTCTCGTATGAAGCCTATGGATAAATGCAAATAACAGAATGAAAATCTAGCATGTCTAACAACCTGTATGATCATTATTACCTATAAGGCACCAGGCTAACATCTAAGTCAAACAGAGTTTCACATGATCCAGAATGCAAAAGCATTTGGTTTTTATCTGATATTAAATAGAAAACACCAAGCTCAAGATGAAAGATTAAAAATGTGTGGAACAGTAAAAACCCAAATTCTACAGGCTACACTATCATGACCCTAAGTCTGACACAAGTGGTTCCTAAATAATCTGACACTTGCTAAAAGATTTACGTACAGAGATGTTCATTATTTTAATTGATAAAACAAAATCTAAATGTCTAGAAACAGATTATATTTGTGCAACAGAACACTGTGTGGTCAGTAAAAACAAACATCATGAAGAATTAACATGGTAAAGTTGAAGCAGGCTGTGAACATATACATTGCAGAGCTCTCAATTAGAATCTAAACATGAGTTATACACTAAATAAGGTCATACACATACATATATTTTTAAAAGGCCTGAAAGAAATGTATGAAAAAGTAATGGTAGTTACACCTGGGTTGTGGAATTATAGTTTCTCATTCTTTTTTAAAAAAATAAAAATTCCCAAGTTTTATACAATGAGTGGCATTACTCCCAAATGCAGGGGAAAAAACTCAGGTTAAAAAATATTAACGGACAATTAAAAACAACTTTAAAAGGGCAGAGAACACTGGTACACATAAAAGCACAGAGAACTCTCCCAGAAAACAGTAAGCACAGTGAAAGACTGTGTACCTGACGTATCAGTCAGGTGCTAAATAGAACTCAGAATAAGCTAAAACTAAAAACCACATCCACCACTGATCCAGCCTTTACTTGCCAAGGACAAAACCATAAATGATTCTGAATAAACTCACCTCTTTAGCCTCTGCTCTAGTAACACTGCTCTGAGAAGCAACGTCACTTTCTTCCTGAACCTTCTTCTCTTCTTTTATACCTAGACTCACATTAAACACATCTTTAGTGATTTCATTCATGCTGCAACCTCACGTCAGATGGAGTTAACAAAACTTTTCTTAATAAAAGTAATGATAAGACAGGACAAATAAAACCAGACAAAGTCCGTTAGTCCTCAGATTCAAAATGCACATTATAACACCAAAGGTCTACCGGAAACTAACACATTGTAAATCAAGTACACTTCAATATAAAAAACTAAAAACTCAAAGGTCTATTTAGTGCTGCTGTAAAGAAACAGCTTCTTTTAATCCAGTGGTTTTCAAAGTTATCGGAGTATAGAAAAGCCCTCAGGACTGCTGCGGCTAGCCTGCGGAACGCCGCCCTGTGGGACGTTCCTTGGGGAAGCGGTACTGCAGGCCACGCGCCTTTGTTACCTGTTTTCTTAGTGATGCGGAGAAGCCGCCTGGCCCCTGCGCGGCCTCGGGCTGGGGCTGGGCGCTGGCGCTGCTCTCAGGGCCCTGCTGCACCCTCAGCGCCTTCTCCAGTTTGATTTCCTCCAGCGTCTTGATCCGCACCTCCTGCATGGACTTTGCGCGGCCTGCGGGCTCCTCTGGCTGTCCTCTGCTGGCCACTACAGGTGGCAAAACCACTATTTTTTTAATTTCATTATCAGTCTTAAGCTTGATGCAGGTTATATCCTTCTTGCTTTTCTGCCTCTCTGCTTCCTGCTGCCGGTGTTTCTTCTCAGCCAGGACCTCAGAGAACGTTTTGATCCGGACATTGGAGGAGGTTCTTGTTCCCGAAGCAGAATCATCAACTTTTGAAGGTCCTTCTGTCTTGAGTTTAGTTTGCAATTCTCCACGTTTCTGACTGGCTCTTTCAAGAAGAATTTCTTCTAATGTCTTCACGTGGATCTCACCAACTTTAGTAACTCTCTCTGTTTTCATGGGGGAAAAACAAACCACTGTACTTGGAGTTCATCTCTTAGTGATTTATGATCTGTCTGTTCTTGGACCAGGACAGAGTCCAGTAGAGAGGGGTCATTTAGGCAGGCAATTAAAATGATCAGAAGCACATTAATTTCAACCTCAATTTTCGAATACTGCATGTTTCAGATCGTGGCCCTCAAGGAAAACTCTAAGGTGGCAAAAATTACTGATTTGGGTTTTTATTCAGAAACTTATTCCTGAGGAACATGAAAGCTAGTTACTAGTTGGGAGAAACTTGTCATTATAAATCTTACCAATAAAAAAGACTAATAGATTAATTCTTCTATTCACTCACAGATACAAACATGTGCTGGACACTCTGCTAGAAATGTAACGGTAAACAAAATGCAAACTCTGCCCAAACATAGTTTGTGTTCTAACAGACAGATCAATAATTAAGCAAAAACAAAGCATGGTAATAACAGCTTTGATAAAGAAGTATACTTGACCCTTGAACAATGTACAAGTTGGGGGGGAACTGGGGCATCGACCCCCATGCAGCTGAAAATTCACACATATAACTTTACAATTAAGCTTCACATCCATGGTTCTGTATCTGGAGATTTGACCAACCAACCATGGATTGTGTAGTACTATAGTATGTCATTACTGAAAAAAATCTGAAACATACATAAGTGGACCCATGTGGTTCAAACTCATTTGTTCAAGGGTCAACTTGTATAATGCTACATATGAGCACAGAGCAAGAACACCAACCAACCTCTAAGAATTGTTAAGTGAAGCTTTTCAGAGTAAGTTATATTTAAGTGGCATTTAAAGGATGAGAAGGAGGTAAAACAGGTAACAAGACAGAAGAAAAATGGGAAAGGCCCGGAGACTGGAATGCCACTCAAGAGCTATTTTTAATGATACATTAATCATTCTGTATTTGCTTAAACTAAAGAGCAAATTTCACACTTGGCAGATAAACCGGTCTTTGTTAGAGAAGGGCTTAAAGAAAAAAATAATGAAGTGATATGAAAAAAATAAGAATAATTTGGGGATTATATACACACATATTTCATCACTAAATAACAGCTTTTAATAACAGATCAAAAACAAACAAAAAATCTCCTTTTACAACCTCAAACATAGCACGTTCTGTCTTACCGTCTGAATCTTTGAATATGCTGTCCCTTCTAAACGCAATACTCCCTGCTGGTCCCATTTCTCCCGCTGCCTACTTTAAAGTGAGTTCAGCTCAGAACCTGACACCCGCCAGTCTAGTTTGCTTTTCTGGTCACACAGCACTGTAACTGCCTGTATTACTAGATACTTCATGAGAACAGTGACTAGATTTATTTTCGTATAGTACCTGTTACGTAGGGAGCACTCAAACACTTACTTATTTTCTTAGGTTTCTTAAATAAAAATTCTACCATTTCAAGATGGTAGTCTGATCTCAAAATGACCACTTTAATAAAGTACAACATGAATGGTGACACAGAGACCCTGTTTTCCTAAACTACAAAATTTCTTGAAAACAATAGAGAAGACATTAGAAGTAGAATAAATCCAGAATAGCAATGGAAAACAAGAATGCCACTGGCAGAACATAAACCTTGAGGAATTTGAGATGAAAAGTAGATGTCTGAAATTATAAAAAAAAAACAGGTAAAACTGTAGGAGTGAGATCTTTCCAAAAAGGGAAGTGTGTTCTTCCCAAAAGAAGCAAAAAAAAAAACCAACAAAAAACCACAACTGCCAAACTAGTATGAAAATCAACAGTAGCTAGAAATCAAGGATGGTCTATGGAACAGTTGGGCCAGTCAGGACCTTCTCCTGAGAACTACTCCCTAAAAAGAGGAGAATCTGCCAGAGAAGGGGGCACATTATGAGGATGTTGGAGCTGGAAAGAAGTAGAGCATAAAACTTGCAGGCTTTCATAAACGCCAAGCAGAAAAATGAGAGGAGAGGGAGCAAAGCTAGAAAATGAGACAGGTTGGCTGCACTCAAAGTAAAGGTCTTTCTTACCATGGCAATCATACAAGTCCCACCTTCAAACCTGCGACCCACACAAGCTGCCTTTTAGTGACACCCTCTCTACTTAGGCAGACAGGTCTCCCAGCCAGGAGAGAGGACTGCTTGGGAAGAAGACCTACCCATTAAAAAAAGAAAAGATTCTAATTAGAAACCCCAGAGCTGCCTGAAATCAGGCTGTGCAAAAGGAAAAATCAGAGAATTTAAAGTTCTTGGAAAATAGAAGCACAAAGTGCCAAAATAAATCTAACCTACCTTTAAAAAAGACAAGGCTGGTATAGAAAATCAGCCATCTAGCATACAGTCAACAAACTATATATATAAAGTCCATGGGTCAAATCTGGCCATGGTCTAATCTTTATAAACAAAGCTTTAATGAAACACAGCCATACTTAATTCATTTACACACTGCAAATAGCCGCTTTCACAGTACAATGGCAGAGTTGAATAGCTACAACAAGAGACTGCAGACCACAAAGCCTAAAATATTTATTTATCACTTGATCCTTCACAGAAAAAAATTTGTCAATTCCAAATCTAGAAAATAAAGCCAAGCAAAACTCATAGAAAGTGAGGCCAAAAAACCAAAGGGATGGAAGTACGAAGGCAAGGTTAAGACATGAGGTGTATGTCTGAAAGTTCCAACATCTAGTAAGAATTCCATAAAGAGAAAAGAAAAAGAAGGTTAAGGACGTACTCAAAGAAATCAGAGGAGTATTTTCTACAACTAAAAACGTTAAGTCCTAAGATTCAAAGGACCCACTGAACCGTGGGCAGAATGAACAAAAAGACCCATGTTCAGATCTATCTATCACAGTGAAGTCACAACATACAAGGGAGGTATGAGAGAAAAATCCTCGAAGTTTCTGAAGAGTAAATTCATTGTTTACAAAAGAATAAGAATGTCTGACATCAGACTGCCTTTTATGATGCAAAATCTGAAGATAAGAATAGGACATAAAAGGAAAAGTACAGGCAAACCCCATTCGCATACATGGATACAGAAATTAAAAAGTATTAAACTAAACCCAGCATTAAAAATGTTTTATAAAGAACTTGGATGCCAATTCCCAATACCGCTTAGAAAGAAAAAGTTACAAAACTATTCTGGCTACGTGGGTACAGCCCAGTGGTAGAGTATGTGCTTTAGCATGCACGAGGTCCTGGGTTCAATTCCCAGAAGCACCATTCAATATATAAACAAAAAAATAAACCTAATTACTCCCCCTCAAAACAAAACAAAAAAGCTGGATGGCTGAGTAAATTACTGTTTATTTTATTATTCTTATATTTATTTTATTATTCTGTATAAACTGTATACATATATATACACTTAGGTAGTTATATCTCCCAATTTAAAAAGTCTAAAAATTAAGAGTGCAGGAAGAATATAAAGAAGAAAATTAAAATTACTTAAACCTTCAATATCCAGATAAAACCAATGTTAATATCCTGGTTTATTTTTTTCTAGGTATATATTTTTTTTTTTATAAAACTGGAAACCACCTTATACATATAGACGTTTTTCCTAGGAATAAGTTTCTGTAAGAAAATAAACATTCTTATGTTGCCCCAAATCAAAAGGTCAAAAGCACTGTGTGTTCTTTTGCAGCCTTTCTTCATGCAACACAAT